GATGATGACGTAATCACTGACGCACCGTCGTCGACCATGAGTCTCAGGGCTGGATCGGGTCACTTCCCATCAATCAGTTTTCTTATTCGCGAAAGCCAACTGGCGCTTCACCACAAAAACAGCTTGTTTGGGGAGATAGAATCGATGATACTTCTCCCAGCAAGTCCACGTTGGATGTTGACATGCATAAGCGTTGGTAGACACATGAACCTTCTGGCAGAGAGAAACATTGTGCAGCACACAGACGTCTGTCACCTCCGTGGCGCCTCTTTCCCATTCCCACCTGCACACTACACACTGTCGTCTCTTGCGGTTCATGTCGGTGTAGAATTGCTTTGATGCAATAGCAGAGCATTTTCTTTGTAGGCTGTCAGGAGTTTGTGCAGCACTCTGTGTTCGAGCAATCCAAATCGCACTGGAAGGTGACAAACGCTCGGAAATCGCCTCGCGAGAACCCCTGTCGGAGTAAAACATTCTGCGTTCACTGATAGCTTCCTTCCACTTGCCCGATACCAATTCAGAGATCAGGTCGACTATAAATTCTCTGTGCGCATCACGGACACCGCTGGAGTCGACAACCAGTCTACGCGTCAAGTACGCATTCGCTCGGGCGACATCAACTAAAGCTAAAGCAAGCTTTTATACCACTTTTTGAAAGAATGGCCATCGGCCAAAGAGAATCGTGCCCGGATTTGGTCAAGTCTATCTACCCCTTGCATTTAGGTATTGTACTCCTTGACACACGTTGGCGCACTAAAAATCAGCACGTACTTGGCGAGTCACTGTTGTCATTGTAGAGGCGTCAGCAGTAGAAACTACCTGATATCACTGTCATACCAGGATGTGGCTACCATTGTGCGATCCACAGAGACACCTTGACGAGATGTACCACGATCACAATCAGAATCCTTTTTATCGAACAGAACATGTTTCGGAAATTGTGAGCTTTTTTTACGCACGGTTCCACAACCATACAGGCCCTTGATGCGCAGCGCCATAAGTAGTTGCACCGACGTATAGTAGTTGTCCGAGTTGACGATGCGCTGGGTGGAAAATAATGGGCGCACGACTTCTAGCACGCACTTTCGAATTGCAGAACATTGATCAAGCTATTCACTCAAGGCTAGCGCCTCTTGTGGTGTCGTCACACTATTGAGTCGGTCCGTGATATCACTTTCACAATGCAGCCGAAAATTTAGCGATATCCATGATGTAGCACAACACAGCATGTAAATGCGAAAATGATACTTGCCCGTAGGCTTCATAAGGTTGTATACAATAAGCGGTTTGCCAAACTTTGAACGGCATGCCACGCTCGCTTCGTCGAGAGCCACGTTTCGGCCAACCTCGACGTACTTAGATCCCGTTATCTTGAAGATATTGAGCAGCGGCCGAATTCTAGCAGCTTGATCAGTATTGGCAACAGTAGCATTCACACATCGAAAACAAAATGCGGTCCACAGTTCCTTGAACCGCCGCAGAGTCATCACATTTTCCAGTCCTATTGAGCTACCACCAAAGATCGAATCCTCCACTTGATTGCCCCAGTAGTTAGCATAATCACCCTTATCGACCAAGGACATGTAGAACAGTATCCCAAGAAAAGTCATGCAGAGTGCTGGCGATTTCGCTCCATTATATATCATTCCATTCCATAATGGCGCGAAATCGCCAGCACTCTGCGCGCTCCTCAGGCCCTGCTGACGCAGACACCACCCGTGCGCGCCCTGCACGTCACACAATGCAGCATGCTTGAAGTAATGCTCGTAATTTATCAAGCCGATCTGGTAACTTACACGCCGTTACGTCAACATGCTGAGCTTATTCTCAGCCAATCAGAGCCGATCGGCCTGGACTTTGCTCATGACCTTCAATAACAGCCAATAAGAAAACTATTGCTGAATAGTACCGTGGATTATGAAAGGGGTCATTTTGCCCCCATTGACGAAAATACCCGCTGCGCCCTGTCTCGTAGACATCAGACCGCGAATACCAAAAGGGTCAAATTGACCCCGTTCGTAAGTTAATATGCTTTCGTTGTATACCATACAAAACTAGGACAATAACGAGCGTTCGCGAAAGGGTTAAAAAGGGTTCATTACAATATTATTATGTGGTCCACGTCTCTAAATTAGAATACACGTCATGTAACATTATTTTAAATAATGGCGTGGACCACACAATTGGCCCTTCGAAAAATGTTAGGGTACGGTACTCAGGTTTCGTTCTTCCTGAAGAACGCAATTCAGCCGCGATGGAGGATGTGGGGCTAGACCGCAAGCTGGTGATCATCGGCCCCACGGACGTGGGCAAGACGTCGATCACCATGCGATACTGTCACGGGAGTTTCTCCACGCCCACGTCAGCCACCATCGGAGCCTCGTTCCTGCAGAAGCGCGTGATCGTCGGTGACGACTCTGGCGCACGGAGGAAACTGACGCTGCAGATCTGGGATACAGCCGGCCAGGAGCGCTTCCGCTCCATGGCGCCTATGTACTACCGCAACGCCAAGGCAGCTATCCTGGTCTTTGATCTTCAGAGCGAGGCCAGCTTCGAGAAGATCAAAGAATGGCTCCAAGGTGCGGCACTTCTGCGCCGTAATAGATACCGAAACGCTAACTTGTTTTTTGCTTTGACTCAACTGAGTACAGACCTACAGCATCACGTGGGTGACGACATAGTGCTAGCGGTGGTGGGCAACAAGAGCGACGTGACGTCCAACTTCGACTTTGCCAAAGCTCAGCAGTTTGCAGATGAGATCGGTGCGCTGGTGTTCCGCACGAGCGCCAAAACGGGCGAAGGAGTGCAGTCGCTGTTCGAGAGTATTGCAGTGCAGCTACTTAAGAAACACGATCAGGAGCAGCGAACACGAGGCCGTGACGGGTCTAGAGCGGGTAGTACGGCAGGTGCGGGCTCGTACGGCTACGGAGGCCAAAGCCCCGTCATTTTGAGTCACACCAATGCCTCAGGAAACAAGGCATCCAAAGGTGGTTGCTGTTAGTGCGAATACACGTTAGCATGAGGCTCGCGTATAGAACGGCACGCAACGACACGGAAAGGAGTTAGGAAGCAGGACAGAGGCTGTCAAAGATGAGAAGGCGTCATGTCGTCTAGAGGAAGAACTCTTTGGCCTCTAACGGCATGGACGCTAGCGAGGAGTGTTTTTATTCATAAGAAACAAGTGTTTCGGCTTCATTTCGTGCTCATATTTTTCGTATCACTGCCTGAAAAAGCTGACACAGAGCTACCAGGAATGAAACATAGGAACACTGACACATTTCAGACCAACACTATCAACACGGAACGGGGACACCAAGCTCATTCAATTTCCGCTGTAAGTTGTTCATTTAGTCGCTGGCCCCCGGGTTAGCTCTGCTGCTTTGCTGCGAACGCGAGTGAAAATACGTTGCTACAAACACGTGGGGGAAGAATGATATCCGGCAAGACGCTGTACTACGTCCCACGCATAGCTACTCGACGTTCACCCGTGACCCTGCTTGTCGGGAAACTGACTTACTGCTGGCTCGAGTTGGCAAGCAATGTGTTGATCTTGTCGATCTTGGTGGCGAGCGACAGGTCAATGAAGTAGTTGCCGATCTGCACCTTGAGGCCGCCCAGGATCTCCGGGTCCACAACCGTCTCCAGCAGCAGCTTCTCGTTCTTCTCCACACGAGCACCGAGGGCCTTCTTGACCTGGTCCAGCTGAGCCTTGGTCAGCGGGTCAGCCGACGTCACCTTGGCCTGCACCTCGCCGCGGTAGGCGCCCATGAGCTTCTTGAACGCAGCGATTACGCCAGCAGCGTCCGGAAGACGGCCGTTGTCGGCAAGCACCTCGAAAAGTCCAGCCACGGGCTTGGAGAACTTGGCCTTCTCCATGACCTTGGCGATATCCTCCTTCTTGGAGGCACGGGCAATGGTGGGATCGTGCAGGAACGAGGCGAAGTTGGGCTCCTTGGCGATCGTCTCCTCAATAGTCAACAGCTCCTTCTCCACGGACTCGAGCTGGTTCTGCTTGGCAGCCACACTGTACAGGGCGTTGGCGTAGCGGGCGTGCAGACCGAAAAGCTGCAGCTTGGGCTGCGTCATCTGGCCGAAGCCGCCAATTTCTTCCACCTCCTTCGTGGACGAAGCGGCCGCCGCCATGCCGCGCGTCAGCGTGGGGGCCACAGCGGCCTTGCGCACCGAATTCTTGATCGTCGAGGACAGCATGCTGACAGTTTGCAACGGGCAGAATCACAAATATTAGTAAAAAATTCCACGGCGTATAGCGTAACCACACTCCAGCGTGATAGCACCACACGTAAAGCAGTTCATAGGCAGTGGCCACTGCCCCGGGCGGGGTACGCCGTTTAACACCTGTATCCGTTATATCCACACGCACACTCACCTTCCGTTCCAGCTAAAGTCGCGAGTGGTCTTTGAGCTGCTGGCCCCCTCCACGTGCGGCTCCAAACCAGCTAGTTAATGGTACTTCATCGATACTTCGCGATTACTTAACGATTACTTAAACAAATATAATTTTAGGACATTTCCACTTGAATACTTTTTTTTTTGTCAACGTGTTCTGCTTTTTTTGACCACCTCCGCATAAGAATTTTTGTCAACGTGTTCTGCTTTTTTTTTTACCACCTCCGCATAAGAATAATCTGTAGGTGCTTCATTATCCATGGCACCACGATTAGCAGCAGCTCCCACTCGGCAGCGCTAAACAGCTTTTATTGTATTTGATGCGACGTTAGGCAAAAAGGCTATTCTAGATAAAGTCTGAGAGGGCAGGTTACCAAGAACACTGCACGTCTAAATCCTCGTTCATTACACACTAGATGGCGTTGGTACTCTTCTTGGGCAAAACTAATGTACAGAGCTCCACCGTGTTAAACTACAGCTTGGTACACATTAGCACAATAAATAGCGCCTCCACAGTTTCTGCCAATATTCGACGTCATCCTCTTTTACGCATCTTCAGCCGCATTGCCACTTCTTGCTCCTTTTCGTGCTCGTAGTTCTGCTGTGGCAAGTCGAGAACAGCAACGCCATGATTCAACTGAATATCCTGCGGCCTCATACGCACCAAAACACTCCAATCGTCCATGAACCGGTTGAAGGCCGTGACTTGTCCTGTCAGTTCCAGAGAATCGTGAGTGAACGTCCTGACTGGCCTCTCTTGGTCTTTGTGGTCACTATGCAGAAGCTCCAGCTGCATGGCTTCGTCGAACAGCGAAAATAGCAGGTCGCCGTCCATATCCAGAGCGTCGGCGTTCGCATCGTCACTGTCTCCACTACATTCCTTCTCCATATCCTGGAGTGCGTCAGCCAGCGCCCGACCGAGCAGAGTCTGCCGATATCCGTCCATCGAATAAAGTGGAGCCAAATGCACTTGACTGAAAATTAACCAATCAGCGGCCACATGATTCAGGACAGCGACCTCCACCAGCATCATTACATAGAGAGACCCGACGATGGCGCTGCGGGACGATCACGACTTCCTGAGCGAGAACGAGCGGCAGTTCCTAGCCAACTGTCTGCGCCAGCCACCGCATGTGCGTGCCGATGGCCGCGAGCTGTTGCAACAGCGCAAGATCCGCGTACAGTTCCGCCGCAGTGAGAGCGAGAGCCAAGCTGAAGTGCAGTTGGGTCGCACTCGGTGCGTGAAACTCACTAACCGTTCACTGCTATTAAGATGAACTAACTTGATAGCGCTCTACTCGGCTGATGCTGTGCAGTGTAATTGGCAACGTGCACGGAGAGATCGTGCCACCATTCCCGGACCGGCCAACTGAAGGCTTCCTGCACTTCGCCGTGGAGCTGTCGCCAATGGCGTCGCCCAGTTTTGAGGCCTCAGCATCTGCAGGTCGTGGAGCTGCTTCTTCAGTGGCAGCTGCAGAATTGGCAAGACTAGTGGAGCGGGGCGTGCGTGAGAGTCGCGCGCTCGACACTGAAGCGCTGGCTGTGGTGGCTGGCGAGAAGGTTTGGGCCATCACGTGTCACGTGCACGTTGTGGACCACGGCGGAAATCTTGTGGATGCTGCCTCACTGGCTGCCATTGCTGCTCTGATGCACTACCGCCGACCGGAAGTAGCAGTGAAGGAGGGCACGAGTGGCAATGGAGGAGTCACCGTGTACAGCGTGGACGAACACGCTGCAGTCCCACTGAGTCTCCACCACATTCCAATTTCCATCTCGTTCTGTTTCCTGCAGCCAGCTACAAACATGAAAGGCTCTAGCGAAAACGACGATGCTGTGGATGCTGACGAGGATGGCGAGCCTATCATTTTCATGGACCCAACGGACCGTGAGGAGCGCATTACGGACGCACGCATGAGTTTTACGTTCAACTCGTTCCGTGAGCTCTGCGCTGTGCACAAGATCGGTGGAGCTGCTATTTCTCAGACGACTGTGCTGCGATGCGCGAATGTGGCAGCAGCGCGTGTTGTTGAGTTGACGACGTTCCTCAAAGAGGAGGAAGAGAAAGCTGACAAGGAGGCTGTGCAGCGCCGCCGCTCGTTGCTTCGTGGTCGTGCTTTTGCTGATATTTCATCAACACTGGACGAAGCAACTGCTAAGAGCACCGTCGAACAGGTCGACTTGGGTGCGATGACAGACTTCTCGACGCTGCATGCACCGATCGCACTGCGCGACGACCCAACAAATGAGGAGACTGCTCAGCAAGTTACGTCCATGGCGGAATTACTGGAGTCGCTCGAGACGGCAGCCGATCTCGCAGAAGAAGAACCGAGGGCATCTGCGCCTGGTCTTGCGATGACGGATGCAGCTCGAGATGAATTCCGACAACTGGCGAACAGCGACACAGTGCGTGATTTGATCCACGGTAGCAAGAAGGAGCTGCCCAAGCCTGCCCAGCCTGCAAAGAAGAAGCCTACAATGGACAGCGACAGCGACAGCGAAGAGGAGGGAGGTGTGCTTCAAAGCGAGTTTGGCTCGGTATCAAAACCCGTTTCACCCGCTAAGACGAAGCCGAGCTCAAAGCCTGTGAAAAAGACTCCGGTCAAGAAGGGAAGAAAGAAGAAGGCGGTGTCGAGCTCTGATGAAGACGAAGATGAGGATATGGATCTGAGCGCCGCCATCAAGCGCAAGTAATTGGACAGGATATCGGTAACAAAAAACTAATAGGACAGCGGTACGTTTCGCCACACACACACACACTTATCGTTTTTCCAGTACCGACCGTTTCGAAGCGACGCCATCGAGCTAATAAACCTAATGCTGTCGGTGTCTACGCTAGATCGACGGTGAGTGAGCAGGCTTCCTGGAATGCAGAAACGCGTCAAAGTGTGCATCAGGGTGCGGCCAACCACCAGCAAAGATTTTGATGCTACCAAGTCCAACGAGATTGTCTCTACCAATGACGCAGTGGTGATCGATGAACAGCAGCAGGTAGTTTTGTGTACGAGCTCGTTTGACCTTAATACGCTTACCTTCGCTTGTATTTTCTTTTTGATACCTTAGACCATCAGTGTCATCACAAATGCAGCTTCAGGTGATGGTACGAGTTTCCGATTTGATCAAGTGCTCTCGCCAGGGATCGACCAAGCTGGTGTTTTTCGATTCGTGGGCTCCGACGTCGTGGATGGAGCGTTGAGCGGCTACAATGGTTGCATTCTAGCGTATGGCCAGACGGGAGCGGGTAAGACGTACACTATGTCTGGAGGAGGCCCACGTCGCCGCTTCGAGGACCGCGGACTCATTGCACGATCCTTATCTCGTGTGTTCCAGCGCACTCAACAGGACGCCGACCACTCGTATGCGCTGCGCGTGTCGTATCTCGAAATCTACAATGACCGCCTCATCGATCTGCTCGCGGCAGATGTTGGTACTAGTCATGCCCCGAACGATCTCGCAATTCAGGAGAATGCACGCGGACAAACGTTTGTGCGTGGTCTCACGAAGGCTCTCGTGTCCAGTGAGGAACAGGCACTAGATCTAGTTTTTCAAGGCGAAACTAACCGCGCAGTGGCTGAGCACGCGCTTAATGCTGCGTCAACACGCTCACACTGCATTTTCACGCTATACCTGGAACGGAAGCGTAGCGTCATGTCTTCTGAGTTGATCGAGGAAGACAGCAATCAAGACGAAACAAGCGGAGGCCATCAGAATGAAGTCGATGTCGTTTACAGCAAATTGCACTTAGTAGACCTCGCGGGGTCAGAGCGGATGAAAAAGACTCTGACGGAGGCAAATTCCACAAGAGCTAACGAGGCCTGTTACATCAACCGGTCGCTAACGTTCCTAGTGCAGGTTGTGCTTGCACTCGGGAGCAAGAACCGAGCCCACGTGCCGTTCCGACAAACGCCTCTGACCAATTTGCTTAAGGACTCGCTGGGCGGCAACTGCCGCACACTGCTAGTGGCGTGTGTATGGCCAGCACCGACACATGCGGATCAAAGTCTGGCGACGTTGCGATTCGCAGCGAGGATGCGCCGTGTCAAAACTCAAGCAATTGTCAACGTTGTTGCCAGTGGCTCCGGCTCTGCTGGGTCGAAGCTGGCAAGCGACGAGAGAGCTGCGTATCGGGACGAGATCCGACGATTGCGTGAAGAACTCGTGCTGTACGATGCAATAGCTGGGCGCACACGGGCCGACCACGGCAGCATGGGAAACGGTAGCCAGGCCGAGGAATCGAGGCGCCAACAGATCGCCGCGTTCTTGACGGATGCCGAGCAGATCCCACCTGTTCAGAGTCTTCGGCAAGTACATCAACTGTTGCAAACCTTTCGTTTAGTTTGCCTCGAACAGAAAGCTTCGGTCGACTCAGCAATAAGTCAAACGAAAAACACCGGGAGCAAGATGGTGGCGCAGATTCGAGCGCTTCGAGGTCACACGCCGCCAGACCTCAGTTCGTCGTCTGTGCCTAGGAACAGTTCCAGCAATCTCAACAATAATCCTGCCGAACCAACCGCAACGATACTTCCACCGCTCTACAGAGAGAATCAACCACAACAGCAGCAACAGCAGCAACAGCAGCAACGCGTTGCATCAGCTCCTATCTCACGCGAGAGCGACAAAGAGCTCTTTGAACGATTCAAGGCCGTGGGAGGCGCTGATCCCAGCGCTGAGGTGCTGCGCGACCTGGAGCAGGCCAAGATGAATCTTCGCGAGGCGAAGGCTCAGTATGCAGCGCTGGTTCTTGCAGTCAACCGCGTAAAACTGTACGTAGCATGGGAGTGGTCATCCATCCGACTTACAGCTCTCGGACTGGTGTTGACTTAGTGGGTTTGTTTGCAGGGAGATCGACGGGTATGCGCTGCAACTGCAGAAGCTTCGAGACTGCACTACGTCCGAGCAACCGAAGGAGACGGAGGAGACCGAGGCCCAAAGCATGTCGTTGCTGCAGTTGCAGGACGCGAAGAAGCGATATCGCGCCACGTTCGAGCAGCTTCAGGAGAAGAAGGCGGAGGTTGGTTACCTCGGCAAAATTAAGGCGCAGATGCTACAGCGAGTGGCGCTGCAGTTCCAAGCCTGGAGAGATCAGCAGGAAAATGGCACCGAAACGGTAGTGGGAGGCGATTGGCCTGGATGAGGCCACTCCGGTGCTGTTTGGTGATCCCGTTGACGAGAAGATCGATCGGCAGTAATTTAAAGGAAACGAAAGCGACGCATAGAAGTTAAACGAACAGCTGAGGGCATATGAGAAGCCAACGCGCTGCCATTCAGTATCGACAAGGTTGTGTCGGCTTGATGTAAGGGCGAATTCTGTTGGGGCGACTATCGACGCAGCTTTCGAATTGATAACCACATATCCCACCAATTTACACGCATTGTGAGCGACGGCGCGACTAGGTATAACCTATAAGGTGTCTTCGTCGCTGGCGTTGAAGTTCGAGGTGAATTCTTGACGCTTGGAGGTGGACCCGACTGAGACCTCCGATTTCTCATCAAAGTACATGTACCGCCAAGAGCGACGGCTGCTAAGCAAGTGTATTTAGCTTGCTGAATGGCGATTCGGCATTCAGCCAGTATTACACGTACGTGTACCGGACCCGGTGGTACAGTGGCTGTGCTGGTGCATGTACACGCAGCTTCACTACGAAGTGATTGCTAAGTGGCAACACTAATGCAGTTCAAGGAGGTATACAACACGCGCCGACTTTCAACCAATCGCAGCGCGTCCATGACGTCGGTGGTGTCGACACAGAGTAATAGAATTGCCGCATAGCCACGCACACATGCGACGCGCCACAGCGATTTAACACGTCTGCCTATAGCCAACATACATGGATAAAGCTGAACTGTCATGTTGCCTCAACATAGTCTTTACTTGTGGCGTAATGGCAGGAATTTCATCATTGCTTTGCGAATGATGAAGAGTAGGGCTCCCATAGAAGTACGTTCGACAAAGATATTTTTTTCGGAAATCAATTTGTTGACTAAAAACACAAAAACTCTTTTTTTTTACAAATGATTCTTTTTCTGTAGCTTAAAGTTTTGATTTTGTACAGCAATATGAATGAGTACCGTCAGTAGCCGTCGGCTACTAACGTCAATATAAGTATTTCTCCTAAACAAAAGAAAATTTAAACAACTTAAAACACGTTGAGAATGGGTTGTCTGCACATGTTTTGGTAGCTCTTCTGGATTCACGTGGAAAACACTGGTGAAAGAAAGAATCGGCTGACACAAACTTACGTTCAAGTCACCTTAATTCGATCGGATCGTCCTCGAATTGCACTCAGCCTTTCCAGCATCAAGATAACTATAACTGCTGACCTACAGTAGCTAGCTGATCTACTGTTTATTTAAGTACGCGAGTAAAAAGCTGGAATTTGCGGGTTCTTGCTCGAAAGGTATGCATGCATACTTGTCAACCCAAATTGGTGTCATTGCATGCGCTCTTAGTTTTTTTAGAACTTGGAAAAATTAAAAAAAAATGCATTTGCATTTGCTCTTTATTCTCAAAAATTACCTAACCATTTCAAAACCCGAAATTCACAATAAAAATCCCTGTTCTTGATATGGGTGAACGGTTAATTAATAATTATCCCTACATGTAGATGTAAAGCCATTTAGACGTCAAGGCCATTTGCTGTTGCTGCAGCGCGCGCCTTTGCGACCCTCACCTTGCATTATTCCCGCTCGGAGAATCATTCACGGGGCAAACGCGTCTTCACCGCTCCCTCCCTTGAATTCGGCGGTGAAGATTTGCGGCGTTAAATGCGGCGTCTATAACTGCGCACGAAGCAGCCCTTGAAGCGCAAACTGAAGCATATAAAAACGCCCGCCAACTGCAACCTGGGGTTGTGCTCGATTTTGACTTGACTTCGCTATGGTTTAACGAAAAATACAATCCAGCTGGAAGGCGCGTATCCTTGACACCGCACGCGACAGCGCCACCAGCAGCATGGCGCCGGCGAGACAGCAGTGCCACAGCTCATTTCCCAATTGAACGTCTTTTGACTACTTCTGTTCACCAGCCAACCACCATGGCCATGACCGTGCTGCCCAGCTTTCAGACCTTCTTGCAGAATTCGGCCACGCCACAGCCACCGTCGCCGCTTTTGAGCAGCGAATCACGCCCACAGAGCCCCAACTACTCGCCCTACGGTTGGCACCAGGCCGCCGCCATCAGCAGCGGTATGCAGCTTCCCTACTACAACTATAACTACCAGCACAGCCTCTCGCCAGCTTCCAGCTCCTGCTCCGAGACCGAGGAAGAGGACATGTCACCCAGTCGCCGCACGGGCTTCAAGCGCCCGCTGCCTGGCGTGGGTCTCAACGCTTCGCCACTATCATCTCCCACCACGGTAGCCAAGCGTGCGAAGAAGAAATACCTCAAGGAGCGCGAGCGCTGCGAGATTGTGCGGCGTGTGCGCGCTGGAGAGAAACAAGCCCACCTCGCCAAGGAGTTCGGCGTCTCGCGTGCCGCTGTGTGCTACCTGCTCAAGCACCAGATGGAGATCATGCGACGCTCGTCGCAGCACCTCTGAGTGTCGAAGGCAAGGATTATTATTATTTTATTGATAGCTAGGAGTGTCAATACATTTTTGTGAAGCATCCATTAGCTTTCCTGCAACACTTCCAGGCGTTACAGCCCAACGACTTCCATTTCTTGTTCAACTGCATGATTCATGCCTGCTGCGTGAGGTTTGAAACCACTGGCTTCGTTTAACATATTGGGTGGGGCGGAAAGACACGCTTTGAATGCGACAGCCCGTGTCTTTGCGGCGGCATTTCGGGCAGATAAGGGGCACTCACTGTCGACTCGACATTGTCAGAAAGCGGGGTTGTTGTTAACGGTTCTTTGGCTCTCGGACCACCACTCAGTGCATCTTCGCTTGCCGCTCGATATTCGAGAGAGCGAACAGTGCCATCACATCATTTGCCACGCGCGGCACGCAGCTAAACAAGGCTACGATTGGCAGGACGCACGTGCAGCTCCCAAGCCGCTCAGCAATACACAGCGTTATTAACAAGCTTGGTACTGTACATGACTTGCAATTATTGATAAGCCCTACATCCACGAAGGAATGTGTTGTTGTGTGTGTGTTGTTTTGGTGTATTTTGTTTTTTTTCGACGTCAAACGGTGAACAAAAAAACCATTCCGCTTCGTGTACATGTATAGAATCTTGACTTAGAAGTTTAGACACCAAAAAAGTACTTTTTATAGAAAAAGTGCGCATTGGTTTCTTTTGATTTTTTTTAATATGGTGGGCCATAGGCTATGAGCAGTCAAGGCAAGAGCTTTTTTTTTCAGAAAAAAGTGCTTTAAAGTTCAACGCACTTTTAAGCCTCGTGTATTGTGAGTTCTACTCAAAATTGTCATGGGCGATTCTTGGAATGAATATCTCTGTGGTGCATCAACTGACCTTGCCAGTTGACCCGACATTTCTTCATCGCTTAGGCTGATCCGATACGCCTCGGCATTTGGTTGTCGAAATAGTGATCTCCACGATCTAAAACGTCGAACAAACTATTTTCCACGAGTAAAATACCGTCACCATTGCGGGTTGTATCAAAAAACAAAATTCCTTTCTCATCCGGGTCGTTCAAACAACGTGCTCGCACGTCTGACCCTCGTGTTTTCAAAGCTTGCTTTCCTGACGCAACAAGAACATAAAGGCGTTTTTTGTGCACAGGAGTATATTGTAGTGCACCTAGAGCACCTTTAGTGAAGTGCATGCATCAGATAAGCCCGCGGGGCATCGAATGGACTTGATTACAACACAGCACGTTGGGATCACATCTACTCGCTCAGTTTCGGCACAAGGCAGTGTAGTGTTGCAATTTAGGACGCTGCCTTCAGACTTCGGATACACTCACTTGCTGAAGATTCGAGTGTGTGTATGCACGCGCAAATAGAGAATGGTTTCATAG